TTTTGTTGACCTTTGTCCATGGAAGGTCCCTGCAAAATTTCATTGAAATTGGTTCAGGGGTTTTGGAGAAGAAGTCGAAAATGTAAATTGTTTACGGACGCACGACGGACGACGGACGACGACGGACAAAAGGCGATCGCAATAGGTCACTTGAGACTTTGTCTCAGGTGACCTAATAAAGCTTATGATACAAAGACATTAATTAACTCACAGGAAAACAGCTGACATACGATCAGACGACTTCACGAAGGTCTTATATAAGGCGCATGTAATGCAGACTGATGTGTTTTGTTTACCGACCTCACCTGTACGTATCACGTGCTAACAGTAGTTTACAAGCTCATGATCGCTACGACTTTTGTTGTCGAGCGAGTTATGCTCTGTCAGATAAATCGGGTCACAAATGCAATTACAATAACTTTGTGAAAATAGTGGCTTGTAAAATATCAAGATCCCTATAAAATGCAAGTGCATGTGCGTGCACGTAATAACAGCATACCATATGAACCTGACATGTTAATATACCATGCATAAGCAGGCTATGGAATGATGTCCAAAATGTACATGATTGAGAGTAATTTTGTTCCATAAAAAAACAGTAAATTGACAAATAAATATAGTAATTAGGGCTTTTCCCAACTGGTGAAAAGACCTATTGATTTTGTTAAGTTTCTTCTTCTTATTATTATTATTATTATTCCGTACTTTGTGAATTCTGTATCTTTTGATTGGTAAAAGATAAGTTTATAGTCTTTAAGGTATGTTGTAGAAAAAGGTCTGAAGATGATCAAGCAACATTTTGAAGTAGGTCAAAAATTAAATATGGCCGCCATGACGTCATAGGTCAAAATCTTAAAACGGCTATAACTCAAAAACAGAATTGACGCAATCATTTTTTATGTAGATAATCTTCTGGGCTAACTTTTATTACTGTATGTTATTTCATTTAAAGGTCAAATAAAAAATCACGCTGTTGGGTCAAAGTTCACAATATTTCTACAGATCAATGAAGAATATCATTTTGATGTCTTTAGTGTTTCTGTAACATTTACTGTTAACGTTGTACGACATTTTGAATATTTCCTTTGATCTTTTGAAAATTTCGCAATATTTTAAAACTTGTTTTACTCCAATAGCAATGACAAATATTTCGTTTAGTTGTTTTGGAAAAAAGTTTCCCCAGCGGTCCTCTAACATTTGGTAAAATTTTCAACTTCATCAAAAAAAACAAAATGGCCACCATGACGTCATATCCATTCTTTTCTTTAATTGCTATACCTCATTAACGGGTGAATATATTTAATTCATCTTTGGATATGTTGCTGCAAAATAAAAAATAAAAAACTTTTCTCAGGAAACAATTTTGTGTCAAAGGTCAACTTCCGGTTTTCGTAGGGGTCAAAGTTTGAATGTGTAATTCTGTGAAACAAAACGTCAAAAAAAATCTTCTCAAAAACCAAGTGACCCAAGGTCAAAATATTTATTGAATATTCATGCTCAAGCAATGGACTATCAAGTTTGCTAATAAGAATGACCTTGACCCATGTTCAAGGTCGCCGGGGTCAATTATGTTAAAATCTTCAAAAGACTCCTTCTCAATAACTGAAATGCCCAGGGTATTGATATTTGGTCTGTAGCATGCTAGGATGATGGGCTACAAAGTTTATGGACATAAATTACTATCAAAGATTAACTTCCGGTATTTGATAGGTCAAATTTGAACATATGATTTTGTGAAAACAAATCAAAGATACCAGAACTATTTGCGAGTTACTTCCCTTCCACCAGTAGTAAAATGGTTCACCTACAAAAATATAACCCAAAGCAAAAGTTAAACACCTTTTTTTGTCCTGCTATTTTTGAGTACTGCTAAAAGAATTAAACTTGATTAATCTTTTAATCAAGTCAAAACATTTCAAAATTTAAAATGTCTTTACCTCAATAGTGTAATATAAGTGAAAAGCCTGTCAAATTGTTAGCCAACAATATCTAGTTTAATTTATTTCCGTCGTTTTTTGGTATATTAAATAAAATAAGTGTCATTGCATAAATTCTATCCCTCTGCAAAAATGTTCTGATTTTTTTCAAGGTAGACAACTCTCATCAGGATCAAAATAATTGTAAAATGTAAAATAAATTAATTATAAAGACTTTGTGTGAATTTGGTTTAATTTTTCACTCTTTTTATATGAAACTATGTGTCCTGTTTGCTTTTGGCTTGTATTTAGTAACTTTAATCCATATAGTTTCAATAAAAAGTGCTTTTTGTAACATGTTGTAGATATTTTATGATAAATAAAATATTTGTAGGGTTGATTAGCAATGTTTCTTTTCATTATTTTATTGTTGTAATAGTTCTGAACAATGCCACATGCTCAAAAAATGTGAAAGTGTTGAATTTGACAAAAATTCAAATTTTCGGTATTTTTTACAAAAAAATCCCCAGTTTATCGGAATGCTTAGATTTTCATAAAATCATCTCTACATAGTGACATAACCATCATGTGAAACTTTCATTGAATTCTGATGGCTAATTGCGAAGGGTGGAACCTCCTTTAAGTTTTTCTGTATAGTTAAATTAATTTTTGAATTTTCTTTTTTACTTCTTCAATATCACTGATTTAACTTTATCACTGGGTAATTCTTTTCTTTATCAAGTTCTTTATTTTATAACGATAAATGATATTTCATGCTTTTTGTTTTAAATCTGTTTTCCAAATAGTGATATTCCTTATTAATGTTATATGCCTTACACATTAAGCTCCTTACCATAAATATAAGGTGTATTTTTGAGTCTTGCCCCACGCAGCAGTACATTGGCTGGGCCGAGAGATTTTATCTCTTCCCCTGCGTTTGTGGTAACAGTGATGCGTCCGATAAACCTGTACAGGTCTGTGATTGGCTGTTGGCATTCTATGTGGGCGTGGAGGTGCTGGAAGTCGTTTACTGTTTGGCATTTCCGCGTGTTGGATATACACAGGTGAGTCTATAAATCATAAATTGATGATTAATGGAGAGAGAAAAAAAGAACAAACGTGTCAATTTAATATCAACAGTATATTGTACTGAATACCATCGACCTTTAAATTGTGCCTTGGAAAGTATAAATTCAAGTTTGATTTTTTTATTATTTAAAAACAAAATCATTAAACAAGCCATTCAAATTGATATGTCTTGCCTGTACAGTGCCCTACTTGACCATCAAAGCGCATATCGATGAAATAAATTTAAATGTATGCATCCAGCATTTGATGCATGGGTTGAGATGTACTACCTAAGATGCATGGGTTGAGATGTACTACCTAAGATGCATCTATGGTCCAAGTTTGGTTGGTCTAGCACTTATCTTTCAGTGAAACTAACTTAAACACAAAAACTTAATGTTGCCGCCGCCACGAGACAAAAATCATCAAAAGAAGTACTTTAGTCACTAGTAGAACATAGCTTAGTTAAGTTAAAAACACAATAATCTTAAATCAAAAGCTGCTAATTTTTAATTAATCTAATTATAATTTTAAATTAAAACAAATTATCTATTTGGGGATTTGAAAAGTCAACACCACAAAAGATACACAAAAATACTATCTTCCCTATTTATATTTTCTTCAAAACAGAAAATTTTGATTTTGTGTGTCCATAATATAAACAGACAAAAGGTTTACTGATCACTGCAGCCAGAGTTGTGTACCTTGAGGTTAGTTTCCCCATCCAGATTGGCTGTTGTGACGTAACACTGACCCTCCTTGTCGTATGACGACAACATGACCAGATCACAAGGAAATTCCTGGTTCTTTTCCACCATCACGATGTCCCCTACCTGTAACATTGTTAGTATTATTAGTTTTTATCTTTATACAACATTTGTTGTTGTTATGTGAAAATCAATCAGTTTGCCCTTTCCAATTCAGATTATCGATTACAAATTCCATAATTGATATAATCAGTTCATTATTGAAATCAAAGTGTCAAATGTATGTATACAAAGTATGCATTGAAAGTTAAGTTTATTCTAAAGATTTGAACTATATTCTTGACAAAAACTGCATAAAAGTTTCTTGAAATCCATTCCATCCTTATAATGTAGCAAGAATACCCTGGTATGCCAATGTAGCATGTTTATTATATACAATTCATACAATCAATAAAATATGAGAATTTCCCAGGAGCAGCGTTATCAAGGACTCACTACTGGTCATATGCCACCTAACTGTTACCTCCAGATGTGTTTGTTTGTGTGTGTGCTTGAGGCATACAAGTTATCAGTTTCATGGCGTGACTGTGCATCCACCTATTTTTCATAGTGTCATCTCAATGAAAAGTTAAATCATAAACACTGCAGCACCCACCCTAGACCGTTTTATATTCCAGTTGGGTTAGAGGAGTTGAGTGGGCAGGAGAAAAACACCTCCTCTGAACATTTCTTGCTACGATGACTAATATGACCCTGCTGTCTGCATGTTAGGGTGGTAAGTTAACCATTAAGCCAAATCTTCTCACAAAGTTAGAGTATGTTCGATAATTTTCTAAATAATGGGCACGTAAATAGATTTTAATTTGTGTAAAATGAAAATATACATGTTTACATATCGTCATCAAATCAACTTGCTCAAAGATTGTGTGAATGAAATCAAAAACATTACACTTCCATGGAAATCCCTGAAGTTACAGTAAATACTGTCCATTCTGCTTCTATTTTTTGTATCTTTAATTTGATAAAAATTAAAGTTGATGATAAATCCTGTGACAGAATCTATGCTCATCAGAAATAAATAGTTTTATTCTTAACATGATTTCTCCCATTTTCTTATCATTATTTTTTTTAATTACTTCAAAAACAGCATTATACATATAAATACATGGCCTGATTCAGTACAGGATCAAAATACAACCGTACAGATTGAGCTTGTGATACTTTACTGCTCAAAACCCCACTTTTTCTTCCCTAGACAGCACGACTATGATATTAACATTGTAATACATTAAGTAATGGCGACCAGCTGGTCATTTTGATCTTCAGTGTATAGAGATATAATTTATCTCTGATACCAGAAATGTAGGTTAAGACCGACATGAACACCAATACAAACAGATAACCTAGAAGATGTGCTATCTAGCAAACATACAGAAGGTGTGGGCAGATGATAGTGTAGTAACTTTAATTTGACCCCGAAAAGTACTTTAAATTCTAGTTAATTTGTAAGTGGCTGTTACGAACAAAGGACTTTTTTTGGCAATTTCTTTTTTTTGCATTCAAACATTTCTTTTACAAATGGAGTTTATTACTTGTTTTATTGCACAATTTTGTTATTTGTCAAGTAGTTATAATGAACCATAATCAGAAAAATAATTATTTGCAAAAATTTAATTAATTAGGTAAAAGGAAATAATTGGTGCATGTCTATTTTCAGCTCTCAAAAAGACTTGGTTAGGTAAAACATTTTCCAATTTTTTAATCAAATAGCAGGCACAAAATATACCATAGGCAGAGGAAAGTGGCCTGAACTTATAAACAGTAACAGTATTACAAGGCCATCAGTATCTCGGGAATGTGTTTATATACAATGACAGTAAATTAAAGTACAATCGTGATTTGAAGAAATTATCTGTAATATATACATATTTTCCCATTCTGATGGAGATGTATAAAAATTTAAAGGCTAACCAATGTCAGTGTAGAGAAATATATAAGTTATAATTTGGTTTGTTTGTGTTTTTCGTCCTTTTAACAGCTATATGGTCATTTAGGGACGTGCCATGTTTTGGTGGTAGAGGAAAGCCGGAGTTCCCTCTCAAAAACCACCGACCTACAGCCAGTACCTGGTGGCTGCCCTACGTAGGTCTTGAACCCATGACCCAGTGATGGAGGGCTAGTGGTAGCAGAATGTCAGACGCCTTAACCACTTGGCCATGCACTGCAACCCCACATATAAGTTATAGTGACCTACATTTGATATACATGTATTGGAGTACACGTAATACTTACTCCTCATAAATATAGTAATTAGGGCTTTTCCCAACTGGGAAATGCATTGCTGTGTCAGAAGGACAGGAGGTCAGAGAGAAAAAATTAAAAACAAATTCACAAATGGGAAGTGAATAACAGCAAACATGACTGTTTTTATCTATAGGGAGCAGTGTAACTTCTGATAAACATCCTGCATCTACGGTCAGATAAAACCTTTGTCCGATATCTCTAGGTAAGACAGTCATAATGGTGTTATCACTAGCCATGATACAAATTTAATCCTGGACAGGTGTTAACTTTAACAAATGAAGTTGTAGTTCTTATAAATGGGAAAGATGCATATTGACACCAGCTGATAAACTTACAGTACGTTGTTGTAACCTCCATTGTAAAATGCTAAGTTATGTGTGAACATCCAGCATGATGTTAAAACAGCAGCTATTTCTATGTAATATTTGACACATTCAATATCCAAGCCACATACATCCTTAAGTCTAAATGTCACAGTAAGGTAGCATAAACCATGAAGACTGCACACAGACATGAACAACCTTGATGGTCACACAGATGTGAACAACCTTGATGTCCACACAGACGTGAACAACCTTGATGTCCACACAGACATGAACAACCTTGATGTCCACACAGACGTGAACAGTATTGATGGCCACACAGACATGAACAACCTTGATGTCCACACAGACGTGAACAACCTTGATGTCCACACAGATGTGAACAGTATTGATGGCCACACAGACATGAACAACCTTGACGTCCACACAGACACGACTGAGTTATTGATATTTATAAATATATGACCAACCTTGATGTTCATGGATTTGATCTCCTTGATGCAGCCATCTCTGATGACTTGAGTCATCCTGTTATTGACCTCATTGTCTCCCTTGTGTCGTAGATAGTCCTCATAGCCCTGAAATACAAGGAAGGACTAATGATGTCACTGTTACCCTAGTGTAAAATAGAGCTAAAATGTCGTAGATAGTCCTCATAGCCCTGAAACACAAGGATAGAAAAATGATGTCACTGTTACCCTAGTGAAAAATAGAGCTAATATGTTGTAGATAGTCCTCATAGCTCTGAAATACAAGGAAGGAATAATGATGTCACTGTTACCCTAGTGTAAAATAGAGCTAATATGGTGTAGAAAGTCCTCATAGCCCTGAAATACAAGGAAGGAATAATGATGTCACAGTTACCCTAGTGTTAAATAGAGCTAAAATATCGTAGATAGTCGTCGTAGATAGTCCTCATAGCTCTGAAATACAAGGACGGAATAATGATGTCACTGTTACCCTAGTGTAAAATAGAGCTAATATGTTGTAGATAGTCCTCATAGCCCTGAAATACAAGAAAGAAATAATGATGTCACTGTTACCCTAGTGTAAAATAGAGCTAATATGGTGTAGAAAGTCCTCATAGCCCTGAAATACAAGGAAGGAATAATTATGTCACTGTTACCCTAGTGTAAAATAGAGCTAAAATGTTGTAGATAGTCCTCATAGCCCTGAAATACGAGAAAGAAATAATGATGTCACTGTAACCCTAGTGTAAAATAGATCTAATATGTTGTAGATAGTCCTCATAGCCCTGAAATACAAGAAAGAAATAATGATGTCACTGTAACCCTAGTGTAAAATAGAGCTAATATGTCATAGATAGTCCTCATAACCCTGAAATACAAAGAAGGAATAATGATGTCACAGTTACCCTAGTGTTAAATAGAGCTAAAATATCTTAGATAGTCGTCGTAGATAGTCCTCATAGCTCTGAAATACAAGGAAGGAATAATGGTGTCACAGTTACCCTAGTGTAAAATAGAGCTAAAATGTTGTAGAAAGTCCTCATAGCTCTGAAATACAAGGACGGAATAATGATGTCACTGTTACCCTAGTGTAAAATAGAGCTAAAATGTTGTAGATAGTCCTCATAGCCCTGAAATACAAGAAAGAAATAATGATGTCACTGTAACCCTAGAGTAAAATAGAGCTAATATGTTGTAGATAGTCCTCATAGCCCTGAAATACAAGAAAGAAATAACCTAGTGTAAAATAGAGCTAAAATGTCGTAGATAGTCCTCATAGCCCTGAAACACAAGGATAGAAAAATGATGTCACTGTTACCCTAGTGTAAAATAGAGCTAAAATGTTGTAGATAGTCCTCATAGCCCTGAAATACAAGAAAGAAATAATGATGTCACTGTAACCCTAGAGTAAAATAGAGCTAATATGTTGTAGATAGTCCTCATAGCTCTGAAATACAAGGAAGGAATAATGATGTCACAATTACCCTAGTGTAAAATAGAGCTAAAATGTCATAGATAGTCCTCATAGCTCTGAAATACAAGGAAGGAATAATGATGTCAGAGTTACCCTAGTGTAAAATAGAGCTAAAATGTTGTAGAAAGTCCTCATAGCTCTGAAATACAAGGACGGAATAATTATGTCACTGTTACCCTAGTGTAAAATAGAGCTAAAATGTTGTAGATAGTCCTCATAGCCCTGAAATACAAGAAAGAAATAATGATGTCACTGTAACCCTAGTGTAAAATAGAGCTAATATGTTGTAGATAGTCCTCATAGCCCTGAAATACAAAGAAGGAATAATGATGTCACAGTTACCCTAGTGT